TCATATCCCACTACTTCAACAACTGACCCAATGTTTAAAAATTCATGTTTGGTAACTACCCATAATCTGAGGATGTGCAAAACTACTATGTGATGCGCAAAGCAATTATAAAAGGCGTTGGGATCCATTCGGAAGGTCCCTAACCTCATTTTTCACATTCAGTTTGCATACATCATCTAAGCAATGAGAAAGATGACTTAGAAGAGCCTTAACCCGAAATCAAACACTACCCATAAGCTTGAGAAAGTGTGTGAAGAACGGCAATGGCGGGAGGTACATTTTCGATCCAATCTATTCCACATTGATCTAAATGATATTTGTTGATTAAAGTATGTTTAGATCGCTTAAGGCAACTTATAAAGCCTCCTACTAGAAGGTTCGGCAAGCTTTTTTTACTTTAACTAAAAAACCAATCCAATACCCACCCCTATCCCAATCTAAAGAGCGATCGAGCGAGAGAAAGAAAGAAAATGCACATGCCTCTCATTTGCCCTTTACTAAACTCGGCCACCAAATCGTCTAGATGGAATGTCTTTATTAGGAAAGTGGCTGTTTAGTCAAAAAAAGAGCTCAACAAAGTCTCCATGCTATATGCGACGGCAATGCAATCTAAACCTACTTATCACCTTAAGCCACGTCGAGAGAAAAAACCTAATGCAGAACAAAATGATTGAGAGGCTTACGCAGACCTTTGCGTAACTCGATGCATATCATGAATAGATTTACGTTAACAAAAATTGTTTAAATTTCATCATTCCATCTTTGTCCTTTACTTTGGAGAATGCAAAAGAAAAACTACAAAAAAATAACTCCACTTTCACCTTTGCAATCTTTAGATCTCCCAAGACAATACTTGAAGAACTAGGCATATGATATGCTAATAGATCTCTCTTAATTTTTGTAAGTTGTCCATACATATTCCAGTAGGTCTTGCTATATGCATTTTTTGAAAAACTAGATGAACCTAAAATTCCCACCACATCATGCATTTTGTAGCATTACCCATCAGCTTGCTTTTGTAGTGTTACAGGTACTATTCTATATGCTTACAGAACCACGCTGTTTTTTTAGCAACAAATCTCTATGGACGAATAGTTTATTACATAATTATTTCTCCTATCAAAAACCTTCTATTGCATAAGATAAAACACACTTCTTCTTAATTTTAACGATTCCATATTCGTTACATGATTTACAGTCTTCCACCACATTAACTAGTTATTTTTTATTGGATATTCTGTTAACCAAATTCAATTGTTGTTCTTGTAGATTTTCCCAAAGCCAACATTAATTTGACTATATGTTAGCACGAAACTTTTACAAAGTTAAAAAAAAAAAAACCACAGCTTTTTACATCTATTGTCATACATAATCAGCTCAAGTTCACTTATTTTTCAAAAACAACAAGACATAAAATTAGAAATATCACTTCTCGTTATACTTAATCACAAATTCAAAATTTTTACCTTACTACAACTTTAAATCATATGAGTGACTCCATGCGTTTACAAAAAGTAAAATAGATAACCAACTCTTATTCTTGTATTCTCAATTCAGACAAGTGACGTCTTACAAGATTTTTACCAGTATAATTACACTTGCAGCAATGACTTGCTGGACTTTCTCGTTTCTTATTATGCAGAAAAGCAGTACAAGTAAATATTGCGTACAAACTGTGAACATATTATCAACATTACCTAAAAGGTACTTGTACTTAAAACCGTCACATACATTTGAAGATAATATTGCTTACTAATGCATTATTCAGAGATCAATTCATCCAATTATATTTTCTCACTTGTTTCACAAATGCAGCAACAACTTCATTCTTGTACTCTCATACAACTTCACTTTATATCTTCACTAAAAAATAAACAATTATCAAAGAACTCCTTTTTTATTCTTTCAAACTCACATATGCATACATTGATAGTACAAACTTATTTATTAACCACCAAACAACTTTCATTTCTACAATAAAATAAAAAAATTAAAAATCACGCCAAATCTTCCACACTTGCTGTAGAAACCAGATATTTTACAGATCCTAAAAACTACAATTCTAAGTTTTATCTTTCCAAAATAGACAAAAGCTGCAATTATAAATTGCCTTTCCAAAGTTGATATTTTCCATCTGACACATACATGCGTTAGTACTTTCATCTTATCTTTCAACACCCAAATATGTATATTGAAAGGTAAAACTAAGATGTACGACACAGCTACTCAAGTTTCCACAAACACCAAAAAATTCACTACACAAAATATAAAGAGGGCTTTCTTCCAAATACTAGATGAAACAACTGAGACAAACTCAGACGAAAGAAAGAAGGCTAACAAAGGGTATGAATCCAATGAACAAACCAAGCTCCTCGCTTCCAAAAAAGAACAAAAATGAAAAATATCTACATGACTTTTTGGGCAATAGGGAGTGGTACAACTCTTTTTGTTCATCCATATACATATAAATCCTGAGTATCAAGAGTTGCTTAAATTCCTTGCAAAATGTATTGAAAGTCTTTCCTATGCAGAAATACTATTGGAAAGGTAGGAGTTTGAATAAGCTTGTAAATTAATGGTTTCAACTTTTGTGTATTCATACGACCATCGAAGATTTATTTTCTAAAATAGTTTAATGTGAAGGCCTGAAGGATTGCAATTTCTTTGCAGTTAAAATACTCATCGGATTTCTTTGTAAGTCATCCATAGGATACTCCTACACTTAATATTGTTATAAACATTATTCATTAAAAAAAAACTACATACAGTGAAATGAGGCAAAAACCTTACAATTCGTTCATTACAACATAGTTTTACGTTTACCCTTTTAAAGTAAATACATGGTTGTATCTACCCTACTGCCTCGTGAGGACTAATTAATCATCATAGGACAAAATTATTTCCATGTAAAATGATTAGGATCAATGAAATTGGTTCTTCCTTTCATCGCATGTCCTATAATTATCAAGTCTATGAAAAGAATAAAATACTTTATATATCTATAATTTGAAATTAAAGCACATCTCCATTTCATCTTTTACAAGCATGCAGTTGAAGGAAAAGGGAAAAAAAAAAAAAAAAAAAAACTAATTATTAGGGTGTTATTTATTGAATCGACTTAGAACTGGTTGTATTAATTGTCATAAAACGATAAATGAGCCTATGTTTTTGGAATATAATTCTTCTATCATTGCCCAACTGCATGAATCCATAATGCATTATGATCCTCATGCTTCAACTTCAACTAAAACACATAATATTTCCCAATTTTGAATTACAAAGAACTTTTAATGGATTGAATGTACCATCAATTGCATATGTATTACCAATGCCCATTTAATGTAAGCATTGTTATGGCCGCAAATTTTATGGAGAAATGAAAGACTTCTATTGTTCTAATAGAAAATTTAAGCTTTTCATATCTTACTCACTAACGCAACTATATATTTTATTTATTTCTGAAGAACTGAGCTGTGTGGATTTCAAAAAGTTTGCAAGAGAATATAATAATCATTTTGCTTTCACATCTGGATTTGGTGTAGAAAAATTGAAATGAATATTCAAAAGTTTCACTCCCATTTTCTTAGCAGCTTATTACACTATTATTTTATCTGATTTTTTTCCTATGTACCTAAATGGAAAAAGAGCACTAACGAATAGAACTTCTCTTCTCTTCTTTAAATTATTTCCTACTTGTCATGTTGGAATTTCCCATTTATTTCCTTATGTAACACACTAATATTACCTTAAGCAAACTTTAAGCCATGCATTGCATGGCAACAAAACTAGTAATTAAATACAAGAAAGAGTTAATAAATAAAAGTTAGGAAGTAGAAAATCACATCACAACACTTAAACAAGAAATTATAATTAAAATCACACAATTTCTAATGCATTATTTTATTTATTATGTCCCTAATTGATTTAATTAAAACTAGAAATTGATTTAATTAAAACTAGACTTTTGATAAATAACAAAATTTGATGAAATGTCTGATTAAAAAGTTGATAATAGTTATGGATCCAATAAAACTTATTGTTAAACTAATTGACTTTGACTTAAATTTTTATCAACTTTTCAGTTAAACCAAATAGGGACTATATGGCCTTTAATTAATATTATTAATGGAAAAAAAATTCTTATTACTTCTAGATGCCTTGTTTGTTAAGACTTGTCCTTCTCATCTTGACATGGTGTGTTATCCAGTTATTTGCTTATGATGACATAATATTGCCATGTGTATAGAAAATCCATACATACACTTTGACAAAATGCCGTGTAAAATGTTGCCACTGATTTTTACAAAAAACAAAAAAAAAAAAAAATTGGTTTTGGCAGCCAATTACATTCTGCCAACATTACATCTGTCAATAAAGTGGACAAGAAATTCTGTACAAGTAGATAATTTCTACCTTTATAATCTTTTACTTTCTCGCTTACCTATCTTACCCATAACACTAGAACCCATTTTGGCAAGAAATTTGACAAATGGGGATAGAAATGAAAACGGGTGCATAAATAATAAACCCCCTCATTCATACGCTGCAACATAGATTAATTCTGATTGAATAATTGGTGTCCAAATCGCGTTTCATGTGATGCAGTATATTTAATGAGCAGTGCTGGGGCAGGCCACACACGTGTCTGGGGAGTGTATGATTTTTTATTTTTTTTAAAATAATTCTCCACAACACCCAGCTGCTTGTGCCGGCCTGTACAGTAAGATTTTTCCATATTTAATTCCCTCTTTCACAGAAGAAGGGAAATCACGCTTGTCTGGAGGTGATTTTCACAAAATCTTAATGAGAATTTCGACCGTTCTGGGAACGTGGGTTTCCTCTGCTAACCGCAATTTTTGACTGCATATTTGTCAAATTACCATAAATCCCTATCATTCCAATGGAATGGATTAAATATACATGGGTACCTACGTCATTTTGTAAAAAATGGTCAATAATAGCCGCCCAAATTTTTTATTAAAATTTTACTGAGAATAGCCTCCAGACAGCCCCATATCGTGCATCATATCATCCCCCAAAACAACCCATTGAGCTGTCCTTCCAGTGGAAATCCCTAGTGAGCTTCACGGTCGACGGGAAGAAAATTAAGGAAAACAATGAAAAACCCTCATGTTCTACTTATTCCATATCCAGCACAAGGCCATGTGCTTCCCTTAATGGAAGTTGCACTCCATTTAGTAAAATATGGCTTCAAAATCACATTTGTAAACTCCGAGTTCATTCATGAACGAGTTATCAAATCAATGCCGGAGACCGACAACGTACGAGAACTCATAAACATGGTTTCGTTACCTGACGGGTTAGAATCCTCTGATGACAGAAGTGATACGGGAAAATTGTGGGGATCAATTACTAGGGTCATGCCCGGAGAGCTAAAGGTTCTTATTGAACGGATTAATGGTTCGGAAAGTGATAAAATCAGTTGTATAATTGCCGAGGCCAGCTTGGGTTGGGCTATCGAGGTTGCAGAGAAAATGGGAATCAAGAAAGTGGCTTTCTGGCCAGCGGCATCAGCGTTATTCGCCCTGTTATTCAAAATTCCGAGCCTTATTGACGAAGGAATCATAGACAGTGAAGGTTATTACAGCTTTAAACATAAATTAGTCTTCACTACTTTATTCTAAACCCTGTTAATTTTTATTTTCAACATCAAGCACCTCAATTTTTAATACATTTAATTATAAAGTTAAAATGTTAATTTAAAGAGTTGCAGAAAAAATTCAATTAATGGGATTTTTACCATGTTCTCTTCCCTAGAAGATATCCACCCCCCCCCCCCCCCCAAAAAAAAAAAAAAAAAAAAGGATGGTAAAT